ATTTGATACGGGATATATCAAATAATGTATCTACGGGATGACATGTTTAGGAATCACCTATGTAAGTGTGAAGTGTTAGCCGCTTCAAGGAGAATTTTGTAAGGCCAATTCTCTACGCACTTATGAAACCAGGCGGTGTTCATGGCTGAAACGAACACAACAATGAGAGCCAAAGACGGTTAAGGGTCGGTTGTGTGACTTATGGTTGTCTAGGTATACACCAAAGTTCGACGGTTCAAAGATATCAAATCTACCGATTGACCGAGTATATCCGACATAAGTTCACTACGGAAAGTTCAAAGGGAAACCTACTTATCCTGATACAATTAATCCTTGCTTGCGAATCACACAGTTTTTCATGCATATTTCCGTGATATAGCCATTTCCCATTCATGTGGGGGATTGTTGGGTTTTTTAAGCATAAATGTAGCTTAAAAGAGGGTGAATGGGAAATGGAGGGAAATTGAAAATATTTGAGTTTCCCTCCTTGACAAAGGGATATTGTCCCATATTGGAAGAGGAAGAGATTTTGATGGGTATATATACAATTGCACTTCTTCTAGCTCTTAAAGAGTTAAGAAGAAGGCAAGCCTCGCACCGTCGTCGCTCGCTCGGCTCGGCTACGACTACGTCTTCGGCTTCGGCTTCGGCTTCGGATTCGGATTCGGATTCGGTCAAATGATCGATTGATTGATTAATTTTTTGGACCAAATTTATTTGTTAATAGTAAATATTAACAGAATTGTTATTAAATATCCGGTTTTTTAAAGTTTTTTAAAAAACCGAATCTACTGAAGACATTTTGTTAGTGTTTTACCTATCAAAGATAAATGAACTAAATAGGGTTACTCCGACAACAATATGGCTCCCCAATAGTTGGATAATAATCTAATGTTTCGGGCAAGTGCTTTGGAAGTCCTTGCGACTCTTGAATAGTTGGATATAATGGACAAGAAGGGTCATTATGCACTTGTTGGACAAAGTTACCTGTAACTTGTTGTTGGTGGGAGGTAGCAGAGATCCCGTAGAATTAATCAAGTTGGCGCAAGCTGGTCCGGACACCACGGTTACCAAAAAAAAGGTCACGATGCAATTTTCTGTTCTCCAGGAGACCCAACACTCTCTTCTTCATCTCCTTTCTAAAACTTAATGTCTTCCAACTTTTCCATTTCTAGAATTTCTACAAAAGTTGAATTACTGCTCCTTCATCTTGAAACTGGAAGATTGTGTCATCGCCACAATTCTCTTAGTCACACCGCTTAGAGTATAACTCAACCCACTTCAGTTTTTCTCCCATATACGTACCCTGTCAGGTTTCTAAGAGTGTACCTTACCCTCTATAATATGACTCGCGATTCTGAGGGGTTGATGGATAAATATTGGTTGGTTTTGAAAAAGGCGAAGGTTACTGTACCATTTATCACCGACAATGTCCAAATAGCAACCAAGCATGTTAGGTTCAAGATAAAGCTCAATCGTATTTACAATTTCACTCCTTCTTTGAGGGTTCCCCAAGCTACCTTCAAGATAAGAATCTTTGGCTTCTTTACGTAGTAGAAATAAATTGTGACACAAGAAAAGGCTAAATGTTTGAGGAACTGGAAGATTGTGTCATCGACACAATACACGTAGTCGCACCGCTTAGAGTATAACTCAACCCACTTAAGTTTTTCTCCCATATACGTATCTTGTCAGGTTTCCATGAGTGTACCTCACCCTCTATAATATGACCCGCGATTCTGAGGGGTTGATGGATAGATATTGGTTGGTTTTGAAAAAGGCGAAGGTTATTGTACCATTTATCACTGGCAACATCCAAATAGCAATCAAGCATGTTAGGTTCAAGATATGGCTCAATCAACAACAACAACAACAACCCAGTATAATCCCACTAGTGGGGTCTGGGGAGGGTAGTGTGTACGTAGACCTTACCCCTACCCTGGGGTAGAGAGGCTGTTTCCGATAGACCCTCGGCTCCTTCCCTCCAAGAACTCCACACCTTGCTCTTGGGGTGACTCGAACTCACAACCTCTTGGTTGGAAGTGGAGGGTACTTACCAATAGAGCAACACACTCTTGTCAAGATACGGCTCAATCGTGTTTAAAATTTCATTCCTTTGAGGGTTCGTCGAGCTACCTTCAAGATAAGAATCTTTGGCTTCTTTACGTAGCAGAAATAAATTGGGACACAAGAAAAGGCTAAATGTTTGAGGAACTGGAAGATTGTGTCATCGCCACAATACTCGTAGTCGCACCGCTTAGAGCATAACTCAACCCACTTCAGTTTTTCTCCCATATACATACCCTGTCAGGTTTCCAGGAGTGTATCTTACCCTCTATAATATGACCCGCAATTCCGAGGGTGATGGACAGATATTGGTTGATTTTGAAAAAGGCGAAGGTTATTGTACCATTTATCACCGACAATGTCCAAATAGCAACCAAGCATATTAGGTTCAAGATAAGGCTCAATCGTGTTTAAAATTTCACTCCTTTGAGGGTTCCTCGAGCTACCTTCAAGATAAGAATCTTTGGCTTCTTTACGTAGCTGAATAAATTGGGACCCAAGAAAAGGCTAAATGTTTGAGGAACTGGAAGATTGTGTCATCGGCACAGTACTAGTAGTTGTACCGCTTAGAGTATAACTCAACCCACTTCAGTTTTACTCCCATAAACGTACCTTGTCAGGTACCTCACCCTCTATAATATGACCCGCGATTCCGAGTAGTTGATGGATATATATTGGTTGGTTTTGAAAAAGGCGAAGGTTACTGTCCATTTATCACCGGCAACTGTATTTCTGAATCTATACATTAATTGAGTCAGCTATAAAATGATTCATATCAGAACTCTTAAACTCGATGGCAAAAAGGTGAATCCAACTCTGAGTTTCATTTACCATCAAACTATAGTTGGTTGTGAAGCATTAATGGTTTTGCGAGGAGAGCCCATGAAAAGAAACGTCCAAATAACAACCAAGCATGTTAGGTTCTAGATATGGCTCAATCGTGTTTAAAATTTCACTCCTTTGAGGGTTCGTCGAGCTACCTTCAAGATAAGAATCTTTGGCTTCTTTACGTAGCAGAAATAAATTGGGACACAAGAAAAGACTAAATGTTTGAGGAACTGGAAGATTGTGCTCGTAGTCGCACCGCTTAGAGTATAACTCAACCCACTTCTGTTTTTCTGCCATATACGTACCCTGTTAGGTTTCTAGGAGTGCACCTCACCCACTATGATATGACCCGCGATTCCAAGGGTGATGGATAGATATTGGTTGGTTTTGAAAAAGGAGAAGGTCACTGTACCATTTATCACCGACAATGTCCAAATAGCAACCAAGCATGTTAGGTTCAATATAAGGCTCAATCGTGTTTAAAATTTCACTCCTTCTTTGAGGGTTCCTCGAGCTACCTTCAAGATAAGAATTTTTGTCTTCTTTATGTAGCGGAAATAAATTGGGACACAAGAAAAGGCTAAATGTTTGAGGAACTGGAAGATTGTGTCATCGGCACAATACTCGTTGTCGCTCTGCTTAGAGTATAACTCAACCCACTTCTGTTTATCTCCCATATACGTACCCTGTCAGGTTTCTAAGAGTGTACCTCACCCTCTATAATATGACACGCGATTCCGAAAGGTTTATGGATATATATTGATTGGTTTGGAAAAGGCGAAGGTTACTGTACCATTTATCACCGACAATGTCCAAATAGCAACCAAGCATGTTCGGTTCAAGATATGGCTCAATCGTGTTTAAAATTTCACTCCTTCTTTGAGGGTCCTCGAGCTACCTTCAAGATATGAATCTTTGGCTTTTTTACGTAGCGGAAATAAATTGGGACACAAGAAAAGGCTAAATGTTTGAGGAACTGGAAGATTGTGTCATCGACACAATACTCGTAGTCGCACTGTTTATTGTATAATTCAACCCATTTCAGTTTTTCTCCCATACACACACCCTCTCAGATTTCCAAGAGTGTACCTCACCCTCTATAATATGACCCCGCGATTTTGAGGGGTTGATGGATAGATATTGGTTGGTTTTGAAAAAGGCGAAAGTTACCGTACCATTCATCACCGGCAACGTCCAAATAGCAACCAGGCATGTTAGGTTCAAGATAAGGCTCAATTGTGCTTAAAATTTTACTCCTTCTTTGTGGGTTCCTCGAGCTAACTTCAAGATAAGAATCTTTGTCTTCTTTATGTAGCGGAAATAAATTGGGACACAAGAAAAGGCTAAATGTTTGAGGAACTGGAAGATTATGTCATCGGCACAATACTCGTTGTCACTCTGCTTAGAGTATAACTCAACCCACTTCTGTTTATCTCCCATATACGTATCCTGTCAGGTTTCCAAAATTGTACCTCACCCTCTATAATATGACCCGCGATTCCGAAGGGTTTATGGATATATATAGTATACAATATATATCGGCTATTATTTTTTAAAGCTGCTAAAAATATACATTTATCTACATAAATAGTACTTAGTAGAAGTTTGATAAAGGAAAATTAACGGGAACGCTCATGCGGGCAAAAATACTTATTTTAAAATACCCATTTTAAAAAGTATCTACTCCTATTATACATATTTAGAGAAAAATATTTTTAAAATATTCAAAAAGTATGTGCGATTGTATTTCTCCATGATATACAATTCACATGTTATATACTGTAATAATATACTATAATGCAGTTCAACTATTCTTACTATTCTATATCTTCGGGTATACAATTATTCTGAAATTACAATGCTAATTGCATATTGTATATTTGTATTTGTTAAAGGCAACGCCAAGTCAATTTTTATTTTTTTTATTTTCTTTTGAGAGGGGGTCCTATCTTTCAATCATAGAAGCAATTATGAGGAAAAAATTTATTTCTTGTCTTGTTTTTACTCTTTTTTTAAAAAAAACAAAACAAAATGTCTTGTAAGGAAACTACCATGTTGGTTAGATGTTTTGTTTGTTAAAGGCTATGCCAATCTTTATTTTTATTCTTTGTTGGAGGAGGGGGTCCTATCAAAAGATTATTGCCCTTATCCTCCTCTTCCTCTTCTTCTTCCTCTTCCTCTTCTTCTCTTCTTCTTCCTCTTCCTCCTCTTCTTCTTCTTCTTCTTCTTCTTCGTTAGTTAAGTTGCACCTGAACTAACATGATCATTTGATTACATAGGATAAATCCAAATGAGCCATATTGTAGCATTTACAATGAAATAACCAGTCAGACAACTAATACGAAGTTGAAGGGTTCAGAACCTCCTGCTGTTGATTATGTCGTTGTGAAAATCAAAACACATCTACAGAAGGTGATTGATTCTAGAATATATTCGACTTTGAGAAGATACATGTATGTTGTTACTTCTCAGTGTTTCTAATCCACTTTGCTTTGTTTCTGTGCTCTTAACTTTCTACATTTTCCATCTTTGTAATTGTAATTGGGGCTAAAATCCAGTATTTTCAAGTGTATTATATAGATTTTCACCTGGTTAATAGAGGGAAGGAGAAGGGAAGGGTACTTAAGTTACTTTCCCTAGTCCCTTTGCTGTAATTCAAAATGGCAAGTTTTTAATACCTATGCTTGAGAATGGATTTGGGAGTTATTAGTCGGAATCAAGTGGATGTCTGAACAACATCCTCTTAGTTGTTGGTAGACAACTTAGCTAACAACTGTTAAGGAGAGTGACTGATTAAACTATCTTCCCCAACTCTGTGATAACCTCAAGGTCGAAATATCCCTAAATTGATTGAGAACCTACTTTTGAGTGGCTCATTGACTTCATTTCTTCCCCTGCTTCTGAGACTTTACTCTTCCCCGGCCCGACCCCACCCCTCAAATTTATGCCTTCTCGATCTTGCTTTGCAATATTTTACTGGATGTCAGCAGGATATCAATTATGAGAATCAGGAGAACCTATGGGGCAAACCATTTAGAACTGACGGAAATAAAAGTTTAGCCAGCTCTAGATTTTCTCTTTTTTTGCATATCCTCAATCCATATTAATGTCTTCAGATATAGAGTTGGAAACTGAAATTGACGTGTCTCATTGCAGGTCCGGTCCCATCAAGGGGAGAAAGCGTGGTGGCGGTAACTGATTTTTGAAGAAATGAAACGAGACTCACTCCTTGCTCATGGAGCAGCATATTTATTGCATGATAGACTCCATAGAAGCTCTGGTCATCGCATTGCAGATGTGTTTTCTGAATGTGGAAGTATCCTAACAGCATCATTAATCCGATCACCAAAATAAGCTGTGCAGGAAATTGTTGGTCTGCCACCTGCTAGAGAATCCAAAGAGGTAAGTTGTCGTGCTTGCGAGACAAGTTAGGGAATTGGAGGCTGTTGAAATGTCTTACACGTTCAAATATCTAGTGGCTGAACATCAAGATGAACCCTTACACTAAGTAACGGGGCTGGTGCTTTATACGTGTTTCAGGAAGTTGATATGATCTGTCCAATAGCAACTAGGAGCTTGACATCCATTTCTTCCTATAACTGGACTCTCCCACTGTGCAAATGCCCAAAAAAGGTTTTGCAGCATCAGATAACTTGATTCTGGCAATGGTGATTGAGTTTAGACATCAAAAGGCAAAAGTGTACTGCAAATAAGACATGGTTCTTTTCATCTCTATAGTGCAGTGTGGGGGCAAAATATAGAGGCAGATCCAAGATTTGAACTTGATGGGCTCAACATTTTGAAGTTCTTACGCTGAACCCGTTGCACTTTTAAATTTATGGGTTGAGAGTTTATTACTTGTTGGCACTTCAATGATTTTTCACATACACATCTATACTCTGTGAAACAAATGATTGGTTTAGTTGTACCCTTCAAATATATAGTGCATCCGCCTCGGGCAAATTTTGGAGAATCTCATTTTTAAGGATCCTGAGTTGTACAAGTTCTCGTCTGTCTCGAAGGGTGCAAAATATAGAACCAAGTTTTTCTAGAACAAATTATAGAATATGTGCTTTATACTTAGTTAATTATAGCGTTTTGTACATTGTAGGAATTGGATATATAAGATGTTATCAATGCTGAGGCTGTCTTGCAGTCAATATATGTTTTATTTACCTCAGTGTACTTCTAATTTGTCACTTTCAAATTAAATTAATTTGTGTCACAGGGTAGCATTATTCCCTCGCATGCATCTGGTCATCAGTTATATTATTTTCTTTGATTTGTTATATTACATTTGTGACTTCTTTTTTTTTTGTTGTACAAATACATTCTTTTTCAATTGAAAGCAAAAGAGGTGTAGCCAATATAATGATCAATCATAAATTCATTTGTTATCTTTGAAGTTTACAAAAAACTGCAAGCTTTATGAATGATTAAACATGAAATTATTATTTTGGAATACAGACAGGAAGAAGAAGAAGAAGAAAATAAATGAAATGAAGAGATGGAGTTTTGAGCCCTTGACATCACAGCATGCTATCTGATCTAGCGTTTAATCTCTTGAAGAAACAGAAGACAACTGAGTTAGAGTCTTATAGCCTGTTTGGCCAAGTTTCTCCAATTCTAGAAGCACTTTTTTTTCAAAAAAATACTTTTTTTTCAAAGTTGAAGTGTTTGGCCAAGTTTTTGGAAGAAAAAAAAAAGTGTTTTTTGAGGAGAAACAGAAGCAGTTTTGGAGAAGCAGAAAAAAGTAGCTTCTCTCCAAAATCACTTTTGTGAAAAGCACTTTTGAGAAAAATACACTTAGTATAAGTTTTTAAAAATTTGGTCAAACACTAATTGCTACTTAAAAGTATTTTTCAAATTAATTAGTCAAATACAAATTGCTTTTCACCAAAAGTGCTTTTGAGTTTTGAGTAAAAACAATTTTCAAAATAAGCTGACTTTTGCCGCTTGGCCAAACAGGCTATTACTTAAATTAGGAGCCTAATAATATTTTTTGTATATTTGTTATTGAATGTATTACTCATGTATATGAGTAACAATCTAGAAATTACAGGTTATCGTCTTAAATTCTTAATTACACAACTACTCAATGCAGACCAGTCTGCTTTGACCCTGGTTGATATGTTTATCCGACGCATGTTAGATTAGTAGAGGTACATACAAATAAAATGCCAACCAAACGTGATATAAGATAATAGTACTGAATTTTATACCGTTTATTTTCAAACCTCAGTAACCAAACAACCCCCTAAGAAAATATAATTTTCTATCTTTAAAAGTAGTGGCTTTATCCAAATTATATTTTATTCTAATTTTGAAGCAGTATTTGGCTTCTTGCCATAATATATTCTGGGAATTGGAGAAGAAATTCATGACAATGCTGTTAAAGACACTGATTATTTATAAAAGGTGGACTCAAATTTCATGACCAGAAAAATTCAAACAAAATTTTACATGTACAGTAGGAGGTTTAGCTTTTCATTTGCTCTAACAAAAAAAATAAAAAGAGGCTAGCAGAATCCTCCCTAGTTTATGCTCTTATTTAACAAAAAACAAATAAAAATATGATACATGCATACAGTGTTGAAGACAAGTATCTGCACTCTTCTGCAGATGAATCTGCACACCCCCTAATTAGGGACATGACATGGAAAAATTGGGGGCAAAGGCTATATACTACAAATTCACAAGCAGGCTACAAATTTGAAATCTGAACCTAATAGGAGACACCCAAATACACTTTAGTATCTATCAAGTGCAAGAGTTAAATTACAATTGGGCTAAACATCCTATTCACATGCAGCTAGCTAACAAGATGGGGGTTGAAGTTGCTTCAACCGTCTTACTACTTGTTTCATTGTAGGTCTAGTTGAAAGAGAGTCAACTGTGCAGACCACAGCCAAATGTAGTACCTCAACCAAATCATCATGTGGACCTGAATCCCATAGACCAGCAGTAAAGAACTCCTTTGCACGGCCCTGGCGTAAAAGCATGCACGCCCAAGCAACAATATTGAATCCATTTCCATAAGAAGAGAAAGAGGGATCAAGTGCTTTCTTGTCTGATATTAACTCAAGCAACACAACCCCATAACTGTAGACATCAGCCTTATCCGAGACACGACAAGTCATGGCATATTCAGGAGCAACATACCCGAAAGTTCCAGCCACACCAGTAGTGGCATGGGTCTCTGAAGTTCCCAGTAATCTAGCCAAACCAAAATCAGATAAATATGCAGTATAGTCTTCATCCAATAGGATGTTGCTTGGCTTTACATCACGATGAAGCACACGCGGTACACACTGATCATGCAGGTAAGCAAGTGCACGGGCAATGTCCAAAGCAATCTTGTGAAGTACCCTCCAATCCACAGCCCTCGTTGACCTGTCCTGAATAAACTTTTCCAAATTACCGCCTGGCAAATAGTTATAGATTAGAAACATTTCCGTTTCACTATTATGATATCCAATCAGAGTTACGAGGTTTGGATGTCGAAGCCTCCCCAATGTTCTGATTTCTGCATCAAACTGTTGGATCCCTTGAAAACGTCCTACAGCAAGTCGCTTTACTGCCACTAGGAACCCTGGTGCAATCTCAGCTTTGTATGTTGCTCCGAAACCTCCACTGCCTATGCAATTGCTCGCATTGAAGCTCCCTGTGGCCCGCACAACATTCTCAAACGTCAAAGGAACCGGAACTTCTGTAAAAACTGTTACCTCTTTCCTGGTAGATCCTGCAACTCTAGATCTTGGATTCCATTTTCTGGTGTAAAAGAAGAGGACTATCAAAGCAAGAAGAACTGACACAATAGCTGCAGCAGATGTTATGGATGCTATCTCAATTGAGTTGAAACCACCACCATTTCCTCCTTTTTGGGCTGGAGTTGACGGAGGAGACGCAGCAGAATCTTGTGAGTCCCCTATTCTGCCCTGCTGATCTGTAGAAGGTGTTGATAGAGAAAATACATGGCAAGATTGCAGAAAGGGGTTGCCCTGAACACTATTGCATTTCATCAAATCTCTATTAAGAGGTAGTGGCCCAGACAGATTATTGAAAGACACATTAAAGGCTGCCAGTGTGGTCACATTGGCCAAGCCTGAAGGTATTTTCCCTGATAAATTATTATTGTTAAGAAGAAGCGCAGTCAAATTCCTCAAATTCACAAGATTGTTTGGTATTTCACCAGACAATGAATTCGAAGAAAGTTCAAGCTCTTGTAAAGAATGCAATTGCCCAAAACTTGAGGGGATGGAGCCAACCAAATTATTGCCAGCTAAAGAGAGGTAACTGAGATCCTTTATCTGACCAAGACTGCTTGGAATCTGGCCTTGCAAGAGGTTCCAACTTAAATTGAGAGCGACCAAAGAAACCAGACTCCCTATACTCGGAGGAATTGTCCCACCAATCTGGTTTTTGGAGCCATCCAACAGCTTAAGAGGCCCACAAATTGCACCAAGATCCTCTGGAATTTGGCCAGACAATGCATTATTGCTTACATTAACAATCATACCTTTCAATTCATGACATTTCTCGAACAAGTTACCAGGAAAAGGTCCAGTAAACCTGTTACCACCAGCTAGAAATGCATAAACAGTTTGCTTGCCTAACATTTCAGGTGCAATGAGCACAGAAGGCGGTAAATTTCCTGTGAAGTTGTTACCACCGAAATTATGAAATACTGCACGGCCAGCATCATCTCCAAATAACAAAGTGGTGTCTAGTACACTTCTACTGGTGAAGTGCGCTAGATATGCAGATGATGGATCTCTACCGCTGGACGCAACATGAGCACAACTGTAATTGGAAAACCTGGGAAGTGAACCAGAGAGATAATTCTCACTCACATCGAACACAAACATACAAGGAACCGGTAGTTTCTCAACAAGCTGTCCAGTCAACCTATTTGAGCTCAAGTCAAGAAAATGCAGCTTCTGGCAGCTACCCAATTCCTCAGAGATCTCTCCAGTATAAAAATTTTGAGCCAAATTCACAATCTCTAAACTGTCACAAGCACCCCAACTACCAGGAATTTTTCCCGAAAGAGTTGACCTAGGAGCCCAAATCATCCTCAAACTAGGAAGCCCGGTTATCTGTGATGGGATTGTGCCTTCAAAGAAGTTGTACTCATCAGTAGTGAATGCCAATTTTGCAGAAGCATCAATTACTGAATTAGACACATTTGGAAGAGGATCCCACAAATTTGACAGCACGAGAATGGATAATTTCGAGCAGTTTCCTAGCTCAGACGGTATTGGTCCACTCAGGCTGTTCCTGGACACGTCAAGAACCTTGAGCTCAGTTAGTCGACCAAGTTCAGCTGGAATACCATCTTCCAACAAATTTGAATACAAGACAAGTGACTGTAACCCTCTGCAGTTCCCTAAACTTTTAGGAATACCCTCACTTAAAAAATTACCCGCCATCTCTAGATTCTCAAGCTTCTCACACGACCGTCCAATCTCACCAGGAATAGACCCGCTAAGCTGATTAAACGACAGGTACACTCCTCTCAAATCTCCAAATCCACCAATGAGTGCTGGAATGGAACCGTTTACTCTATTTCCAGCAAGATTCAGGATTTGCAGAGCAGCACAATTTGACAAGGAATCCGGAATGCCACCCACAATCTCATTAAAACCCAAGTTCAGAACCCTCAATTTCCTCAACCCCTTAAACTTAAATGGCAAAGACCCTTTAATTAAATTCCCTTCCAGATCCAAAACTTCAAGATTCTCCATATCCCAAATTCCCAAGGGGATTTCACCACCCAATTCATTAAAAGGCAAAGACAAAACCTTCAGTTCAGTCAATCTTGATATAGCCTTAGGCACTTTACCAACAAGCTTAACACTATTATTAGCANTGCCTTAGGTACTTTACCAACAAGCTTAACACTATTATCAGCACAAAGCCTTCTAATACCAAAGCCATACAAAGGAAATTGAGCAATTTTAGCACAAGACAAAGAACCCAAATTACCTCCACTGATATTCAAAGCCACAACACGTGAATTGGAATCACATGAAACACCAAACCATGAACAGTGATCGTCAGTATTGTTCAAGCTCCAGCTAGAAATCACTCCAGAAGGGTCTAAAAGTGAAGTCTTTAACTCCAAGAGAGCTGATTTATCTGAATCTGAGGAGTCTGCATACACATGAGCTAA